GTGACAACACTTTCAAATTCAGTAAGATCGAACACGATGATGTACTAAAAGCTTTGAAAAAATTGAACCCAAATAAAGCCACGGGTTTCGACCTCTTACCCCCGAGGGTTCTCAAGAAACCACCTAAGTGCGATTAATGGAAGATTGGAAACGAGCAATTGACAAGAATGAATCAGTAGCTATCTTGTCGACGGATATGAGTAAGACATTAGATTCTATGTACCCGCCACTATTACTCGCCAAGCTCCAATCTTATGGGCTTTCAAAATCTTCCTTCGCTCTCATCAAATCCTTCTTTGAAAACAGAGGAAACAAAGTAAAAATTGGCAACATCACCAGTGACTGGAAAACAGTAAATCGTGGATGTCCCTTAGGGCCAGCCATGTGGAACATGTTTTAAAATGACTTGTCTTATGAAAAGATAATATCACAACTCTCGATGTACGCGGACAACCATCAACTTTATACCACACACCTTAAAGTGGAAGAAGTAATTAATACATTGGAACAAAGATGAGAATATGTGGAACAAGACGTAACGACGACTGCAAAGTGGTATAGAAAGAACTATCATGAAGGTAAGTATATATAAAGTGATGGTGATGACGAGAAAGAATAGAACATAAGGGATACAGTTATAGATAGCATAAGCACAGTTCCAGAAGACAAATTCAAGTTGTTAGGAGTCATCTTGGATAAGGATTTAGTTTTCACTGACCATATGTCAGCTATTTGCACCACAACAAGCAAGAAGGTAGGAATCCTAACGAGACTGCGCAAGTTAATACCCATCCATGCAAAACTACAGATTKCAAGTACAAGTCTGCAATCTTCCCACATTTCAACTACTGCAGCTTGGTTCGGCACTTTTGCAAAGCCAGTGACAGAAGCAAATTATAACGCATTAATCATAGAGGATTAAGGGCTGTTTACTGCGACTACGAATCATCCTATGAATAACTATTGAAGGGAGCAAAGCTCACCACGCTGTACAATAGAAGGCTACAGTACATTGCAGTGTCCATGTACAAGATCAAAAACAGACTGCTACCTCAAACTATGATTGATCTATTTAATTCTCCCTCTCATAAGTATAATCTAAGGAACACAGATTTTTCTATTACTAGTTATAATACAGTTAAGTATGGGAGGAATAGTCTTGGGTATTTTGGACCATACTTGGTCTAAGCTCAATACATCACTAAGGTTATCATCATCTCTTCAGGCTTTCAAAAAAGGTATCAGGAAGCTGGATCTGACCGAGCTGACAAATAAATTATAGTATATTCTATTCATATTATATTTATATTTATATAGTCATATTTCATTCCGATAATACCCTTACATTATATTCAGATAGTTATAAATTATAATTATTTATTTTATTTTTATTATTATTATTATTATTATTATTATTATTATTATTATTATTATTATTATTATTATTATTATTATTATTATACTTAATGTTTGGTCCATCGGGAAATTAGTTAGTTTTGTTTTTACTCGAGGCCAGGCATCGTGAAACATCGACACTCAAGGGAAATCAAAACTATTTCCCTCGCGACCAGACATTAAGTGTATAATGTTTTGTTATCAGTTAATAAAGATATACCTTGTAATTTGAAGAAAGTTCGAGTTGGCCAACAGATTCTTCAGCTACCTGAACTCCATCAACAAACAATCGTTGATACCCTGTGTTGTAATCGTAAGTGTATCCTACATATCTCCAAATGTTTACAGTTCCATAATCAAACATGGCAGGTGGAAAATGTGCAAAATCATTTCGTCTAGTTGATTTAAAGAACAAGGAAGATGCCCCGACTATGAACATATGTAGGGCCCAGTCAGCAGTGCCTGTTTCGTAAATGAATATTGGACCTGAAGTTCCCTCGTTGTATACCCAAATAAGTACTGTAATCGAATATCTGCAAGAGAGACATGATAATAACTTTTAGCCTATTATTTATGACTATGCATGACCATTTATCAAATTTTATCATGACGGTATACTATCGCCAGTGTCAGTCACAGTAATACTCGGTAGTTGCGCAAAACAGATGATAATTTCCTTTAATTACGTCTAAACCATATTACTCACATTCTTCTTACCCCCTGCCCGTTTCCCAATTTAAATACAAAATAGCTTATCGCTTATTTATTTATTCTTTTAATAGTTGATAGTTGTTTCCTTTTTTCCTTTTTTTCTTTTTTCTTTTCTTTTCTTTTCTTTTTTTATTTGTTTCATTTATTTATTTATTATTTATATTTTTTACTTTGCCTCGTGTTATATCGTTTTTCGTATTTTTTTAACACCAAAAATATTATTAAGAATTTACATGGCCAGAAACCTCGTGCATTTTGCTCTCACGGTCAAGTCAGCGGAATTACCCATCATATATTCAATATGGCGACACTCAACAGTTAAACAACATTTAATCGGGCGTCATTTTACATGAAAACAGAAAGAAAAAAGTAAAACCTACCCAAATTATTTTGAAGTCGAAAAAAGAATATCTTAAATGTGTATTGTGAATGAAATTTCACTTGCATTTACGTATGTTTGTCTTACATAGGACTACATACAACTAAAATTAACCCTCAAAGTACTTTGGTTTTGTCCCATAACTATCACGGCAAATCAAAATTCACACGGCACTACAAAAAATATTCACGGCAAAATGATCAATTTCATTTACATGAATGCTGTCGTCTCCCATCCATTTTTTTATATTTTTGAAGCAATCTCGAAGTACTGCGATTTGAGAACTACGCTTTGCGATCGCTGGCTCAATGTCCGAGATTAATGGCCATGGGTTGAAAGCTTTCAATGATTGTCAAAATTTATTATCCAACTGAGCTATAAGCTATAAGCTAACTCAGTAGATTCAGATATTGCCTGATAAAGCGTAGATTTAGTAAGTAGTAATTACTATAGATCGTTGCAACCTTCCTTGTTATTCCATTCCCTATGGTGGAACCTCTCACTTCCGTTTCTTCATATTTCATTATCTTACAAAAGACTGATGTGTCCCGTGTTCCATGCTTTTCGTCCGAATTTACTGGTTATATCATTCTTTTGTTCTAATACCCTTTATATACTAATTGTTTTATTGGCTATAAATTGCTATACATTTCAGAGTGAGTTACAGATGGACATATTTTTCTTCTCTTTCAAATTGTTTTGTCTCGCTTAGGCGGGCTCGACAAAATACTGCAGACTCCAAAAAATATCCACCTATACGACGTTCCAAAATGGCCGCCAAACTTGGTTGGGACTAGGGACAATTGAACGGAAGCAAGGTAAGTAAGGCCTCAGTAGTAAACAAAGTCTATTCAGTGCGATAGTTATGCTACAACCTAAAAGCAATTGAGAAACGGCAAAACGAAAAGCAGCTAAGGTCTGTAGTATATTCTATTGGAAACCGAATATATTTTTTATCAACTATTTTATATTTAAAATATTTACTGTAGTAAARGTACTAGTTGATAAATTTCAAGTGCAGTTGCTACATTTGTTATTGAATATTTTACTCCCAATAATTCGATTATAACAGTGGTTAGACAATATTCAAAAAAATGGTTATTACCTGGTGTCAAGCTTTGCTTGTTGTGGAATATCGATGTAGCTGCTTGAACTTCCTGGAAAATAGTACGACCCGCCTGGTTTACCACCTGGTCCTGGGGCAAGACTAACACCAACAGCAGTGCCAGCTGTCAGATAACTATTACTGATGTCTTTGGTTGTATGCAGTGAGTTCAAAGGGAACAAGCCGACTGGTTCAGGTACATCATCTAAATAAAAATTATATTCATGTGAGCTGTCAGATTGATATTACTGATGTCTTTGGATGTTTGCAGTTGAGGTCGATCACGTAGTAGCGCAAGATCTCCACATAGTTAGTCTGCTAATAACTATGACATCGGCGTCATCACTTTCTACATTTCTATTGGCTTCTTTGGTTTTATTATTTTTTATGTAACTTTGATATCCGGACGAAGGACTAGCGCCTTCTGGACATGCCGATGTCTGACTCCTAGGGAATTCGTAAAACATGCAGCGTGGACATTTTACGACAGTGACCAATATGTTATCAACAGCAAAAGAAGTATAGATGGATTTAAGCTTAATTAAATACAGTCAGTAGAGTATGCCTCCCCTTTCTAGGGGATTTACTATAACTATAGCTTATTTAAACGAGGCAAGAATGTGAATACTATGATACACATAAATTCAAAATAAATATACCTGCATTAAAAGAATACTATTGTTAGCAGGTCAGCAAAGGTTAACTGAATTCCAATCTAATTGAATATTTATGATCTCGTTTAAGGACGGTGCATACTAATTGAGAATCAATTATTTTTTTTAAATGACTATGTGAATTATTTTAACCTATCAAAGGGTTGTCAAATTCTGGTTAGAAAAGTAGGGGTCACCGTGCATTTAAAAGAAATAATAAGGCTTAAAAATCGTTAACAAGTGATGACGTCATGATTTTACTAACACAAGGGGGAAAAAAATGTTTTCAAAAGATTTTGAGAAATTTCTAATTTAAATCGTTCTTAATGACTGGCACTTTGTTTCTTTACTAAAATATACCCAATTTTACCATGACTTTAATAGTTGGCTATAATATATATATAATTTTTTAGCTTCGTGCTCCCTATTTTCGATCAGTAGGTACATAAAGATTGTGTCCATATTCTTTTCAAAACCAATTATTTTTTATAAATTTCATTTCACGAGGCTAATTTAGCATTTACTTTATCATTTAAATGAAGAAAAAATAGGGGTATCCAGGCTTTTTTAAGAGATACGAATTTTTAAAGAACATTATTAGGGATAAATGTTATGCCGAATGCGTGACAAGCGTTACACAGCATACAAAACGGCGTGACAAACTCTGTTTTTGGCGCGTTGGCACGTCAAGCTAAATATGCTGCTTCCTGCCATGCAAGCAAAAAACACAGAGAAAAACTCGATAATTATAAGCTTTATAGTTCCAGGAAGACTATTGGGTTTGAAGTGAAGTTATTATCGACTTTTTACTTAACAGCAGAAAGGAATTTCTGAAATATTTGGTACGTAATAAGATGATTTTTTAGATTGAGAACTCCAAAGTGAAAGAATTTCATGATGAAAGTTTTTAGCGACCAAAAGAAGATTTTCAAAACTATAATTACACACCTAGATATTAATAAATTGTAAATTTTCAATTTCATATGTATTTCTTGTTTGTTTTTATTCAAGTTTTATAGGATTAAATCTAAAGAAACGGTAAAACGCTTTATTATTGAAAGGATTTGGTTTTTTAGAACTATGAGTCTGCCATTTCTTCAAAACTTGCCCAAAAAAACTTATAATTCTTTGTCAATAATACTTAAACCTTAGCAAATTACCTCTTTAACAAGTCTGGGTTACTTAAGATCGTTTTCTGCTTTAACTTTTATTGAAAATAAACGTTTTGTTTCATGCACCCAGGTCTGAAGTTCGTAGTTTGGGTGTAATATTCAACCAAAATATCTGCTTTAAAAGTCAGATCAACAACTGTTGCAGAGCATCTTCCATGGCATTGAACAACATCAGTAACAAGCTTCAGAGAGTGTTAAACGCTGCAGATAAAGTTGTTAAAAGACCTAAGCCTGACGAGAGTACCAAAAACATTCTAACGCAGTTTGCATTGTTTGCCAGTTACCTACCGTATTAGGCTCTTAACGGTCTTGCATTTCATTTTTGCTTTCGGTATCGCAGTATGACGTTACTCGACTTAGTCTCTCAATATTCGGAACAAAAAATACACACGCAAATGGCAATCGAAAATCAAGAATTAAGTCATACGAAGAATTGTCCTTATTTTTATGACTACTTATTATAATATACGATTGTTTGCTAAAAAAAAAAAAAAACCTGAATTCTTGAAGAACACTTCTTGATCCATAGTTGACTACATGGAAGTTGCTATTATTTGTTGTTGGTCTATAATTTGTCCTAAAGCTATTTTTTTCTGTGCAAGTGAGAGCCGCATCAGCGAGTAGTTTTGCTTTGTCATCAAGCGGGATTCCTTTGTTGTGTACATCGACGCCGTACGGACGGAAGTGACGTCGGCCAAGTCATGAAAAATCAACTCGATGGTTCACCATTCCTTCTAAAGTATGGTGCTCCGCGCGGGAGCTCCGCTAAAACGTCCACGTTGCTTGTTTTACGAATTCCCTAGGAGTCAGACATCGGCATGTCCAGAAGGCGCTAGTCCTTGGTCCAGTTATCAAAGTGTCATGGGAGCTCGTCAGACAGTAATTCCCTATTTAACTGTTTTGGTTAAATTTTTAAAGTAAGACCCCAATGAAAAATTTGAACATTTAAAAAAAATTGTTGACGTCCTTATAGCATTTATATCAACATACCAAAGATATTTTGTGGTTCGATAAAAAGTACATAATCAAAATGAGTTTTTTYCCCCTCTGCTTTCAATGGCCGCTATCATTTAAAGGAGCACTTGGATGAAAATGGATAAAAATCAAAAATGACTTGGGAAAAATATAAACTTAATTGAACCCATTACTGTATAGTTCCAATAATCACAACATGAAGCAATATTTTCCTAGTCTTTATCAAAAGAGTTGAATGGAAGCATTCAACTATGAGTAGCTGACGTCACATATGACGACATTTTCTCAATCCTTTTGTTCTTTTAGGTTTCAAACCAAACTTTCTCTGTGGGAAAATAAGCTTAAAATGCATATTATTTCTGGGCGGAGAGTAGCAAGTTATCTAACTATATTCATCTTCAGATTGAAATAATCAGTTTCCAATTTTCTTCGAATTGATCATTTCAAAGTGCCATTCGGATTAATGGCCGACGGCATTTATAGACAATTGAACTCAAAATTTTAGGCAAGTTAGTTTTCGTATTTTAAGCAAATTTCTAATTTTACTCAACTATTATTGTCATTTTTGCGATCACCTTTCAAACGTTTCAAATTTGTTCATCGTTCAACTTCGAATGTTAATGCATCATATGTTTACTTTAAGTCTCTAGATTCTGCCTAGATTAAATTGCACTGATTGGATCATTCTCTCTTTTGTTTTGTTATGCATAAATTATTCATTCATATTGCGCAGTCTTAACTTATATTACTTTTTGTCCGCATTGTTGCACGTTTGGTCTTCATAGCAGGCTTTGAATCTATTTTTTGCATAATCATAAGTATAAGAAGGTAGACTTATTAACGCAAACTCAATAAATCAGAAGCTACTGGTTGAATGAAATCGTTTATATAAGTTTTGTTATATTGCATGAAAGTAAAGTTTTGTTTTCATTTCCTTTTTTTTTTTTTTTTTTTATATATATATAAATATATGACCCAGTGTAAAAATAAGCCTATGGACATCACAAACCCGCAAGAAAGTAACAAAACGGCATGTTACATATTATTATGCACGTGATTAGTAATCACATKATTGTTTAGCCTTGACATTTTTTGAAAAATATATTTAAGCCAATTATATCTCGATCGTTGCCCGACGTCTTTCCGTCAAAAAAACAACAACAAAACACACATTGGAGGAAGTACCTTCCTACATTATTGTTGCCAAAAACATTGCCAGCTGACTTGTACCATTACACATCACTAGCTACCCATTACCAAATATTCAGTTTAGTTCTAAAATTTGCTTCCAAGACGCAAAAACATATTTCTGCTGTGCGTCAGAAACATTTCATTCTTCCAAGACGAATTGAAACAATGTTTCCGATGGTTCTTCGTTTATAGCAACAATCGCTCTATCTTGAAAATGCGCATGCGCTAACTGATAATGAGTAAACATGTTTCTCGATGTTTCCTGACAGTTTTGCCACCTTTGGAAACATTTAAGTATACATGATTCTCGCAATATGTTTCCTCGTTTAGGCAGGACCTTTGAGTTCTATCATGACGGCAGCTCTCTGAGGCGGGAATTATGTAGGGACTAATATCGGGATCTTATCGTTACAAATCATAGTAACATAGACTTGGTAGTATTACTGATATAAGCAACATCTCTTATACCACAACGACAAACGGACACCTGCTTCTAACGATTTTTTTAGGTCATGCAGCCAGTTGTACTTGCCATGGAGAATTTTTTGAATAACAAAAAGGTAAACTCGTAGCAGCCTTACACATGCGATATCTATAGCATTTTGAACCAAACCTCTAATGAACTATCTCGAATGAACTTGAAACAAGATAATTGTAATAATTTCTTGGATGATGCAATAAAAAATAAAAGTATTTTTATTCCAATAAATTATTTTTCTTGTCTTAAAAAAAGTATTTTAGTTTAGGAGATTAAGCATATTTATTTCTCACCTTCAGAATGAACCAGTTTCACGAGTATCTGTAAAAAACAAACAAGATTATCAAATTGAATTAGAAGAAGATGTAGTCAAACACAATGCTTAGTGAGCTGTAACTTGCTTGTGAATAATGTGAATTGTTAGTTCCTTAAAAATCACTGTATTAGAATGGCCTTCGATATATCTGGCACATTAAAACACCGTTCCTTATTATATGAAATAATAGATAAAATAAAGGGAGGGRAAAAAATACTAAGCAAGTGATCGTATCTCAATGCTTCGTTATCGATCCAAATATACACTAATTAAAATGCTTAAGAGGTTATTCACAGTCTAAACGTTCGTTTTTCGTATTATGAATAAAGGTAAAATGATGTAATATAAATCGTGAGTGGTACCTGGATGTAAAACACAAGATACCAAACATTCTTGATGTACGGCGACATGTTTAAATTTTCGTAACTGACGCCGAACTAAAAAAAATAAAATTACTTTATGCTATATATACGGTAGAAGTTTCGTGAATTTACATAATTCAATCCTTCTAGATTTCTAAATATTTCAATAGGTTTTTTTTTTTGTTCCTTTTGAATATGTAGCCTGCGTTGCTAGAATAACAAAATAAACAAAAGAAAGAACAAAAAAGAAATATAAAGAAAAAAGAAATGTTATTTGGTTTCAAGCCTGCATAAGTAAATTTTATCGAGACCCTGAAGTATATACGTTACAGGGCACTTCTAACTGACAGAACGAATAGGTTTTGAGGAGGGAAAAAGCCGGCGAACCCTTATAAACCGCTTTAATCAAGAGAGAAAGCGAAAAAGACCTACTCACACTTCATGTTAAGAGAAACCGAGACCCAGACGTGAGGTTGGCGAGTAGAATACCGCTACATAACCCTTTCTAAAGAAGTGTTAATTCAGCTGTGCATGCTGCCTTTGTGGCATATATACCTGCAAAATACCGATACGACTTAGATGTAACAGCTTTATCGATTTACTTAGTAACTGTACATGTCAAATCCATCCACGAATACGGTTCAAGCGTTATCGCGCTAAAAAGATTGCACAATTTTGTAATCCAGTGTGATTGCAAACACAAACTATAGACATCAAATTTAGCTCGTCAAAGGGGGGCAAATTATGTTAATCCAAGCTAAAACTCTAGTTCCAAGAAATTCACGCAGGAAATAGTTTTTGAGTCACTTCTAATATTTGTCATTGTTTAATAAAATTCTTATACGAGAAAGTTACTGATCGATGTATTTTCAAATTGTGTAAGCTAATATGTCAGTGGTCAATCCAGAACGATTTCAAGGGTAGAGTTTTTCCATCTTTAGCTGTGGCCGTGTGGTGTTCCATCTTTAGCTGTGGCCGTGGTGAATTGCGTGATCTTTAGTTCGTGGGTTTGTTCACCTTTTATTGATTGAAACGTTCGAATTGCGTCTTTTGTACTTCTCTCTACAATCATTTTCATATGCTTTTTTTAAATCAACAACCAGGCACAGAGCTTTAAAGGATTGCTAAGTACCATCATCATACGTTTTGATAAAAATATCATTCCTGAGGTCACATATTCGGCCCTTCCTTYATTTATACCCTGTTTCTCAAAAAGTAAGCAAAAGCGCAACCCAAAGCGGTAAATATATTCATATCGTTCAGCTGATTCAAAGCAGAAGGACCGTTAGTTGGACGGTAAATATATTCATATCGTAYGGCTGTCTTAATCCGGAAAAACCGTTGGTTAAAAAGGACGTTTACCTTTAAAGATAAGTGAACACTAGTAGTATAGGCGGGATGGCACTGGCCGGATTTTGGACGGGGAAGGGGACGGGGAAGGACGGGGACATTAATAATTCATCACATATTACCATAAAATGACGAGCAGACTATTGTTTATTTATATCGTTACCATAAAACGACGAGCAGACTATTGTTTATTAAATCGTTACCATGAAATGACGAGCAGACTATTGTTTATTAAATCATTACCATAGAATGACGGGTAGGTATTGTGTTGTTGCCATGACGACCAATTGACGCCATGAGTTTATTGTTTGACAAGTTTGTTCAAGTCTTTTGTTTACCGATCCAGTTTATAGAGCGTGGGGATTTTGAATTTTTAACTCCAAAACTCAAGCAAGCAAGCAAGACCTAAAAAAATTTACTTTCGAGAAACGCAATGACTATGTTATTTCAGTTAGGCTCTCGAGGATATCACGCTACCGTCAACGAATTCAAAGGACTAATGAAAATTTGATGACTATTGTATCCAACACAATGCAATTAAGAGCGAAGGTCCACTAATATCGAGCATCGGCCGGTCACGGTCAAAATTTCGATTTTGCTCATTTTTGGTTTGCTGGAAGGTATTACCGAGTAAACAAACGAGGTGTAGTTAGTTTTTCAAAAAAACCGCTAAAATTCTGAGAAATCCGAGAAAAACTGTTGGCCTAGCGGCGATCTCAAAAGTATGCAAATTTTCAGTTGAATCAAACCGGTCCAAAAACAACTAACGCATACAGAATAGGAAAAAGATATGAAAACTATATGTTTATAAATTGATAGAAGAGATGCTTGAGACTTGATTGGGTATAAAATAATGGTTTTAGCTATTTACTGAAAGCGGTCAGATGATATTTAGAATTGAGTGATATTCACACATAGATTTGACCCTTGCTACGCCAAAAAAATTTAATCAAGTGCGCAACTTTTTTTCTCAATGAAACTCACGTCATGAACTATTTGGATGTTCTTCTAGAACATATCCAAAAATCAGTTTGGGTTATTGTATTTAGGGTTTATCCGGAGGCCGTGAACATTGAGCATTTTCGACATATATCGTGACTGAAATCGACAAGTGTTTGTGTCTGGTCGCTATTTTCTCATTGGTTTCTAATTTCATCCGGAATTAAAGCCCGAAAATGCGTTTYCTTTTAAAAAAATACCTTTTATTAGCAGTTTACATTATTTTAGCAGTTACAACATTCGTTTCGGGTAGATTCTCTAAAGAAAATTAAAAACAGTCGGATTAAGCCAGTAAAACTGACACAATTGAAGACCTACTGTACGATTTTACCTGTTCCACCTGATAAAATAGTTTCAGCTTTAAAAACTTTCCTTTTGAGAAATCTCAAAATTTTGGGTACGGTTTACATCGCACGAAATCAATGCAATTTAAAAAGGAACATGGACTTGCAAAAGTCATTAAAGATAATATATTTTGAAATTAAATTATAAAGCAGTTTCATGCACGTTACTTGACAGCATTCTGCAAAATCCCAAATGATAAGATGTACATGCCCAATTAGAACAACGTCCCTGGACGAAAACTTTGGTTAAAAGTTCGGTTCGACGTGCTGATCAGCTGAGCTGCCGGAGTTATACACTAGTCAACTGAAGCCCCTTCAATGGACCCCGGGACAGGGCAGGGAATTAATGTGACGAGACCGGGAGTTTAACGCGCATGCATTTAACAGCGTGAATGCACGGAGATACGGGGGATTTACCGCGTACTACAGCAATTTTAACAGCGAATGTTTTCCTGTGTACCCTGGGCAGGGCGGGGAATTTAACACTACATAAATGTTAAATTCCCCGCCCTTTCTCGGAGGTCGAAGGTTGGGGGTTTCAATTGACTAGTGCATAAAAACAAATAAAAGAAAAAGAAAGAAAACAAAGAAACATTGAAACGAACGAATGAAGGAGGGAGGGAGGAATAGGAAGGAAGGAAGGAAAAGCAAGTGAAAAAAGGAAGGAAGAAAGGAAGGAGGGGGGGAAAGCATAAGGTCATCCACCCCCCCCCCTAAAAAGAGGTCAAACCACAAACGAATGTTTTTTTCCTGACAATTAGAAATTACTGCTGAAATTTAAAAGATCTCTCCTCATGAAAACACAAGTAAAAGACTTCATAACACTTTGAAGTGTACCCTTCGAGCAGATTCGCCTTTTTACCTTGGGGGGAGGGGGGGGGTACTTCGCCAGAATTTGGGTAGGGGTGTTCCGCTGGAATTCTGAAAGGGGTACCCTGTTTATGACAAAAAAAACCTCAAATTTGTAGACCCTGTTTATGATAAAAGATATAATTTACTGCACTGAGTTCTTGTTTCAATTGTCATGTCATCTCGCGTATCGTTTTTTTACGACAATAATAACCAGTTTCGGTCAATACGAAAGTAGAAACCATGAATATGACAGGAAGCTCAGGAAAAAATTGGAATTTGAGTGACATTGCATACCCTGTTTATGAAAAGAAGCTCGAAAAACCATACCCTGTTCAGCGGATCATCCCCATATAGTCTATATATGGGAGTACCCCTTTCCCCCCACCCCGTGCTTCCCCCCAGGCGAAAGTGGTTAAAGGAGACTGCTCGTCTCAGTATCCATTTCGATTCCACAATCACGGTAATTTTCCATTGCCTATTTTAATAAATATCCACTTCGCGGCGAAGGATCGCCCCTCTTTTAAAACTAAATGAAAATATACAAAAGTTTACAAAAAGACGCCGAATAGCCGAATAGGAAAATAAAATACCGRGATTGTCCCGAAATCCGAATCTACCTAAACGAATGTTGTAACTGCTAAAGTAATGTAAATTACTAATAAAAAGTATTTTATTGAGGGAAAAGCATTTTCGTGCTTTAATTCCGGATGAAAATAGAAATCAATGAGAAAATAGCGACTAGAAACAACAAACACTTGTCGATTTCAGTCACGGTATATGTCGAAAATACTCAATGTTCACGGCCTCCGGATAAACCCTAAATACAATAACCCAAACTGATTTTTGGATATGTTCTAGAAGAACATCCAAATAGTTCATGAMGTGAGTTTCATTGAGAAAAAAAGTTGCGCACTTGATTAAATTTTTTTGGCGTAGCAAGGGTCAAATCTATGTGTGAATATCACTCAATTCTAAATATCATCTGACCGCTTTCAGTAAATAGCTAAAACCATTATTTTATACCCAATCAAGTCTCAAGCATCTCTTCTATCAATTTATAAACATATAGTTTTCATATCTTTTTCCTATTCTGCATGCGTTAGTTGTTTTTGGACCGGTTTGATTCAACTGAAAATTTGCATACTTTTGAGATCGCCGCTAGGCCAACAGTTTTTCTCGGATTTCTCAGAATTTTAGCGGTTTTTTTTGAAAAACTAACTACACCTCGTTTGTTTACTCGGTAATACCTTCCAGCAAACCAAAAATGAGCAAAATCGAAATTTTGACCGTGACCGGCCGATGCTCGATATTAGTGGACCTTYGCTCTTAATTGCATTGTGTTGGATACAATAGTCATCAAATTTTCATTAGTCCTTTGAATTCGTTGACGGTAGCGTGATATCCTCGAGAGCCTAACTGAAATAACATAGTCATTGCGTTTCTCGAAAGTAAATTTTTTTAGGTCTTGCTTGCTTG